TAAAGGTCTTTTCCAGCCTCCATGATTCTGCGATCTGCAGGTGGCCAAGTTAGAGAAGATGCACGTCTGAGGAAGCAATGAGAGTTGCTATTTTTTATGAGTGGCTTTGGCACAGAGTTGGAGATTCCTACTAAAAGCTACTGATCACATGGAGTGCTGCAGCAGTACTGTCAATACTGGAAGACGTGGATGAAGCTGGATGACCTGGAGTGACAGACATGACGTTGGAGTTCAGGCATGTCAGGTTTCAAGTAAGATACACAAGGATCTGGTAGAAAGGAAATGGAAAGATTTGAGTGCCCTTCATGATGGACCAGCCAAAAGTTGTAAATTCTGTGAAGCCACAGAGAAAGCCAACATGAGCATCAGCTGAATGAGATGGCATTTTGTAAGAGGCATGCAGAGGAAAACCCCTGGAAAAGGTACCAGTCAGACTCCAGGAGTTCCGAGTTCAATTTGCATTACCTACAGTAACGAAAAATTAATTTGACTCTGACTTGTTTCTTTTTCCAGCTCTGATGTGGTTGCCCTGGATTAATCAAAAATTATCTGCCTATGCAGATTATACATATATATATAAAATTACCTCAAATTAAACTTTCAGACAGTTTTCCTTTGCCCACTCCAGCTTTGTCTTGACATTTATGGTCTGAAAGATCCTTCATTCCCAGTAGGTGGCACTGAATCCTAATTTTAAACTGAATTGCAAATCCAGATGACTAACCAGCTCCAAGAGAAAACTTCCAAGGGGCATTTATGAATCAGTAGTTGTCAGGACCCTCAGGAATGCATTTGTACTTTCATAAACTCCCTGGTACACAGACACAGACCTGGGGGTTTGGCCTCCTCAGCTGCTCTTTAGTTTGAATAAAGGGAGGGACTTCACTTTACTTGCACTGAAGAGGAAAGTAAACCTAGGGTTTGTCCCTTTCAAGTTTGCAGCACCTTGCAGGCATGCTGCTCCTTTCCTTTGCAGACAGAAGGGAAACTGCATCCCTGTGATGCTCTGGAGAGAAAGCCACAGCAGCTGACATTCACATAGGATGACTCTAAAAAGGAAAGGGAAAAACAAGCAGCATTTCAGCAAACGGAGGTGATGGACTCGGCAAAGGACACCAAGGTTCATCTGCAGAACTGGAGAAATGATGCAATTACTAAAACACTTTCAGTTCCCATTTCAAGGCAGACAAACTAAATTTTCAGCTAAAAAAATTAATTTTCATTGCAAGGTTTTTGCTGGATAAAGCCATAGAAAGTCTAACTTGTTCAGGTAGTTTTTGTTGGTTCTTGTATTGCATCAGAAATGGTAGTTCCCAGAAAGCAAAGCAGCCTGAGCCACCAGGGACAAGCTGAATGCTGGTGAAATGTCAAGCTTTCCATTCCGTGTGTCCTGAAGCCCAAGGACTCTGGGTGTCTCTTGGTGAAAAAAAGATTCAGGATCTATGTCAGCTCTCATCTGTGCACATCTGCACTAAACTCCATAGCACAGTTCTCTTTCAGCTGGTGATCCACATGAAATAAAATCAGAGCCTGGTGTCCATCTCCACATCTGCCACCAGGCCCAGAATTTGTGTTTTCAAGCTTCATAAAAGCCAAGAATTCAGTGGGGCTGAAAAGCCAGCTCAATCAGTAATCCATCTTGACATTTAAAATAGATGGATGAATAAACAGCTCTCCTTATTTGCACCACTGAGAGCCTTCTCATGTGATAAAAACATCAGAAATACAGCGAGCTCCCCTACTTAGCTGGAAATGTAATGGATTTTAATGTGACTATTATTCATATTCTCATATTGGCTCTGAGGAGAAACGCAGGCAGCGGGACCCTAACCTTAGCACCACACAGTTAAGTCATTACCATCCTCCTCTTTATTTACAGGTATAAATTTCCTGGTATTCTTTACGCTGCGGGGACCAGGGGTGATCCTGCTCTGGTCTGGGAGGTAACACAGGGTCAGAAAATCACATTTACAGCCTAGAACTTTCAAAATTAAACACATGACAGCAGGTACCAGTGCTGAAATTGGACAGCTGTAACCCATTCCCAGAGCTTCAGGCTGTATTTTGGAGGTGTGACAAACAGCAGTGCATGGAATGAAAGGGGGTTGGAAAAAAATTCCAAACAAGTTGATGTTGTTTAAATAATACACTCTATTTTATTTCATCTTAAAATACTTTAACCTTTATGCTACAGACTTGTTTCAAAAAACAGAAGGTCTCATCTTGCACCAAAAATATATATATATTTTTACATATATATAACACTCTGTTTTATTATTATTTTTTTCTCCAAAGACCATTAAATACTAGATGGAAAATGAGAACTAAATAGTGAGTGTTGAGAATGATTTTATTTTTTTTTAAGTAGAGTCATGTGTTTTAAACATTTATATCCTAAGCCATGATTTGTCTTCACTAGAGAAGATTCCAAGTTCACACTCCAGCAATTTAGGAACTGCTATAACCATGAAGGGCTTGAGCCAATGCACACTGGAGTCAATGGAAAGCCCTGCACCAACTCCAGTGGGTTGAAGATCAGGCCCCAAGTGCAGTGGTTCTTAGCCATACAATGGCTAACATTTCTTTCCTGCTAAAGAAAAAAAAAGAAAAAGAAAAAAAAGCAACAAATTAAAAAAGTAAACAAAAAACCCACCCCAAAATAATATTAATTAAAAAAACCCACACACAAAACAAACAAACAAAAAAACCAACCCAAACCAAGCCAAAACAAAAAGCCCCAAACAAAACCACCTGCTATCTATCCAGTGATGGCAGGTTTCAGATCACCACCCTTTCACATTTGTGAAGAGTAAGAAAAAATAACGTAGTGCTTCAAAGAGAAGAAAACCTGCATCAGACCACAACAGGTGAATTGTTCAAACAAACACAGTGCACATCAGAGGAAGTTTGGTGAGGACGCAGTTGCTTTTATACACACATGGCAGTCACACCATATACAAACTGAAACACAAGCCAGGGAGTTTGCATTTTTCATGGAAGGGCTACAAATGGGTCCCTGCAGCTTGTCTTCCAAAACTGATCTTTACAAGCCTTTTTAACTGAAACAGGAAAGGCAGTCACGCCGGGTGACTGTTCCAAAGTCACCTTTGCAGGACTGTGTGCTAGCCCACCTGCACAGCGTCCGGCTGGTGTGACTACAGCAGGAGCAGAAGGACCAAACAGCTGCTGACTGACAGGCGGGGCTCTCCCCTCCTGCAGTGCCGGCTCCATCCAGGCGCCGCTCCCGCCCTCCCTTCCGCTCCCGGAGAAGGAAATGGGTCACTAGAAGCACCACATGCGTTTTGCTGGCCATGCCATACACTTATGTTGAATGTTATAGAAGGCTTGAAATTGGATTATCAATCCCCTTACCTAGTTGTTCTTTAAAGTGCAGTCACAACCGTTCTGCCTATTAAAGAAAAAGCTGTGTGTTATTAACTATGTTATCACTGCTGGGTTGTTTGGATTAATTTTTATTTTTTTTTCCTTTAGGTTATGGGACAACAGAAGCAATTTTAACTTTTTTTCCCCCACAGAAAAAAAAATATTGGAAGCCAAATTCAGAAACCAGGCAACGCAAAAAGAAAACAGAACTTCCCAAGTCCTGACTACCTACCCCTGTTCAGCCCTAAATGGCAGAAAATATGATGATACAGGTGTACAAAACCTCCACTAGAAACTTTTGAGTACAAAGGAACGTTTTAATTGTACAATAGGCATTTAAAGTGGGTATCATCTGGTTAAAGTCTGATCTTTGGTTTCTGCCTTGAGAAAGGCTCCAAATGACAGATGAGAGGCAGGAATTTCTATATACACCACAGGAACTACAATGTGCTCAATCAGGTAGTTCCACTGATTTCAGTAAATGTTCTGGTAGAATAAAACTCAGCAAAAAACTAGCGTAAGAGACATGCCCTAAAAGCAAGGAAAATGGTGCAGATCTAGTTGCTGATTAAAAAATAATAATAATTAAAAAAAATAAATCACAGTCTGAGGCCCTGATTCTGCAACATCTTTTAGGACAGAGTTTTAAGCACAAGATCGAGCAAACACTGAACATAACACGTCTGCTAAAGTGCTTTGCCAGACTGGGGCTTTGCAAGGTTGGCTTTTCTTCTTTCTTTAAGATGGTCAATGAAGCAAACAAGCAACAGCAGAAATGAGGAATATGAGCAACATGTTTCATTTCTCTCCTCCTACTCCACGCAAGACTGAGATATAGGTTAAAAAGTTCAGGTATTTTTAAAAAGGAGAGGGATGATGGGCCTCTTTATTACTTTTCTTTTCCTTGTGCTTTTGCAAGTACCAGCTGCTAGGAAGTCACTACTATTACTATTTTAAACCTTAACAAGCTGTGGGAAACAACCCGTGAAGCACAGTAGTCAAGCAAACAGAAGACTCAGCACTGAAAGGAGTGTAAACTATAAATTAAAGGATTATAATTAAAAGCTGTTCAGTGCACATGTTATGGGCCATTTGTACTGAAGACAATCCCTTCTGCTGGTAACACAACTAAATCAGCTTGGGTATGAATACTCTTGGCCCAAGTTTCAGAAGTGTTGAATACCCCCAGTTCCACTGGAATCAATGAAGACACAGCATTTCTCAAAACCACTGATGCTCACACAGCAAACACTAACTGCTACTAACAAACTCAATATACTGATAAATTAAAAAAGTTCTGAAGTCGGATGTGGGAACGGGTGGGAGGACATAAGTTTGCATCCATTTAATTCTGCAGATTAACATACACTCAAGTTAGTAACTGTAGCTGTGCTTTTAACTTTGGAGCTATTGGCTTTTTATTCTGGGACGAATCCTCCTTTGAGAAGGCAAAACCATTTAAAATTATACTGAAATTATACTACGTTCTTACGGAAACAAAAAACTTAGTGAGTTTGAATTTTGTAATGCCAGGAATCAGGCTTCTGAAGCTGAAGCTGTAACAACAAGCTTCTGTGGGTGAGAAGGGCTGGGGACACAAACACAGTGACACTGCATTACAGTAGATATTTGCGCCTGGTATCCTCATCCAAAGTGAGGTCTACTACTTCTGGGGGTGAAGACCAGTTCTGCTGGGGAGTCACAGCTGTCCATGATGGTGTTTGCTGAGCGGTAACGTACTGTGAGCCTGAGCCATGCTTCCAGGAAGAGACACTCTGAATCACACCTCCCCTGGGATGCACACACCTGTAGAGCAAGACAAAAAATACCAAGGATTAAAGCTACTACTGAATTCAAGCACAAGATTCTTAGATGCAGTGGTTTATCACTTACGCATCTCATTAAGATGCCCCTCTCCAAAGCGTCCTTGTGAATTTCCAGTTTGTGGAGTGCATGACGTCTTAAACCACAGAATCATTCTGGTTGGAGAAGACCTTTAATATGGAGTCCAACCACAGCCTAACTCTGCCAACCAATAACCTAACACTACCAAGTCCAGTGCTTAAACCATGTTCCTGAGCACCACATCTACATGTCTCTTAAACACCTCCAGGGATGGGATGGAAACTCAAACACTTCCTTGGGCAGGGGGGTCCAGTGTTTCATTACCCTTTCAGCGAAGACATTTTTTCTAATACCTAATCTAATCCTTCCCCAAATACCCAGTAACAAAGCTGAGACCAAATTTAAACTCAAATTTAAACAGGGAATTACATTATTTTCAAAACTGAGTTCTGCCAGTGGGTGTAACGTGTGCATTTTGATGTGCTTCCACATGTGAATGGATCCTACAGATCTTGAACAAGTCTGCCCCATCATGCATTATTGAGGAGTTTCCTGCCAGCAGTTTTACCCACTGGACTGTTACAAAGAGACAAATTCTCTAGTGAGGCTTGATGAGACAAAGAGAAAAGCTATCTCCCTATATAAAATGAAAAAATATGTGAAAATAAGGACATAATGAGACTTTCAAAACAGTAACTACAAGAGACGTCATATCATTACATTACAGACATTGCATTTGATTTTTATTTGGTGTTCTTAACTAAAAATTACAAACGTGCTGGGAAATGCTCACTGGTAACAGCACAGGCCCACTTCAGCAAAACCTTTAGGCTTTCAAGGATTTCAGTAAATGAGACTAAAGAATGTAGGTAAAGATAAGCACACACTCCAGTGCCTTGCTGAAGTGAGGTACACACCTACTAATTTGGGCAGCATTTTTGCATGTTATAGTCCTAGCAGATACGTGACAAATGAAGTACAAGCCAACAGTGCTTACAAAAGAAACAAGATGAAAGACTAATTTTGTTATATGATGAAGCC